TCTGAAAATCCCTTTTGTGTACAAAACTTTCGCGTAACTTGAGCAAGAGTGAGTTGCTGCGTGATAGTGACAAAAACTCTGACCATTTGTACTTGATTTAATTCGGATGGTTCAATACCGATATTGTGGGGAAAATTTCTCTCACAGAACTGTTGAGTCGTTTGCACCCAGAAGATCTGATATAGCAAGTTATAAAGAATCCTGAAAAAGTATTTGATGGCCTAGATGCATTTAATAACCCCAATAGGGTTCTTCAATCCCGCGATCCCTACTAAAATTATCTCTCAATCCCGTAATCCCGATGGTTTATACCGGCGAATCCCGATCCCGTTCATAAATTTTTTTCTGCGTCCAATACCTCAACTTAAAAGGGCCCACTAGTTAAGTGGTATTCATAACTGCGAGGATCGCCTTCCTATTCATTTCTTCAACCGCAATTCACATTTACATGATTTTCGTACATTTGCAGTCATTAATTCACCATTTGAGGCTTTGAAAAAGCTTGGAAATCTTGCCCAATACATTAAAAAATTCAGCGGTTTGCTTAAGTGAAGTTAAGATCTTAATACAATTTGTCTGCGCATCACAGGCTTAACCAACGTGATCGAACTGGTTGATAGAACTCTGTCCTAATGGCCATTCTATCCATATTTCCAGCTCTACCAGTCTCAGCAAAGACAACTACTTCGTTGAAGTTTTCCTTCCAACGCAGGATCGGTGGCTTTTGGATCAACATATAGGATGGCAGTTATATATGAAACGATACTTGAGCTCAGTGAGATGTATGAAACACCAAGACAAATCACGCGCACCCTAGTCAAGGACGAAAAAGAGATCTCGTAAATACCCTGAAAATGGGAGGTGTATAAACATTGTCCGAGAATACACATCGAACCAACCTATTGCCAATCTGCTTCTTACTTGGTCCGTAGTAATGCCTCTCCACGAATTCCGTACCCATCCATCTTCAAATTGATGGCAAGAATAGAATAACTTTTTACGCAGGCCCCAGACGAAACCAGCATCAACCACGTGCCGGTGTCACAGCGGATTTGGACCCCCCGCGGATTTGGACCTCCCGGTCCAAATCCGCTAGCGGATATGGACCCCCCCCTTCGCAGATTCGGACCCCCCTACCAGACTTTCCTTTTAAGCATCCTTTGTATCATATTTGGTAACTAATTCTATTGGCAAGCTTTTTGTCGATGTTCTTTTCAATCACAACATAATATCAATAAAGGTAAAAAAATCCCCAGCCATTTCGTTCCAATTCTACCGCATTTATTATAGCGAGTCATACAGTATATGCAAGAGTTAGATGTGAACAGACTACTGCATTTGAACTTTTGAAATTGTTACAATAAATCTTTGCTTCTTCTGATGCGAATCAACATTGATACGAAACGTCATAAAAATAGTGGAGACTATTCAGCGTCCTGTCACAAAAATAACTCAGTCTGATATTCTAAAATAATAACATTAAACAGTTTCTGAACAAGAACGAAGAAACTACTCCTACTACAAGTCGTTCGTAAAGCCTATGATAAGTAAAAATGTTTCTATTCTTATGAACTATTGGAACTCTCAGCTTATTTTCAGATGCAAATCAACACTAATGTGTACGTCTTAACAAAAGTGGAGACTATTACATCGAACTCAATCTTATTTTCTAATTTTAACGATTACTAACTGTTGAGGGATCCGAAATAACACCTTAACAATTACGAAGACGTCTAGAGTCTGGCGATCCGCAGACAATGCAGAGCCACTCGTCCTCCGGGGTAGTCTTAGATCCCTCGCAGCTCATGTGTAACCACTCCTCGCACAACTCGCACTGTACCATGTCGTCCCAACACTCGTGCATTGAACAATGACAAAATAAATTAGTGTCACAAATTTTTCTCTTATTGAATCCAACGGTGTTCGGCTATCGCGGAAAAGGTTCAGAAACGACCTTTCTCCAGACAGTAAACTGAATTCTTGCCCATTTTCCCTTGGTCAAAAGAAACATCCGACGGGATGCCAGTTCGTATGCATTAACGATACGTATGTTTTAAATTAAAAACATACTTTAGTGCGCACTGGAACGTAAAGTATCATCCATTTTTACTAGAACGTTAAGGATGATGTTTTCACTCAGTTTTGTCGGGGGGGTCCATATCCGCTAGCGGTATTTCTCGATGCGAGAATTCATTTTGATCACAGTTCCGCCAGGAGCAAAGCCGAGTTCATTTACTTTCTCCAACACTTCGCCACGGTTTCTTAGTTCATTGACATCGACGCAAACGCTTCCCTTGACCACCTTGTGGAATTTGATTGGACCGTCATTGCCAGCTAGAGATACGACATTGTTCTTGAAGTGGACTTCTTTGGCAGCAACAGACTCTTTAAGAACTTCAACATTTTGAACTGGGTTGTGCAACTGAGCCATACACAAATTTCATATACCCGTTTCTTGATTCATGGTGAGTAACAACAGGCTGCTGTAAGGACCCACGGCGATATTGATGGGATGAGGATACATTCCCACCCTGTTATGCTCAGTAAAGTGATTCATTTCTGGAATAATTGTGTGGTTTACGAAGTCCAGCTGCTGGAGGTACTCGATAAGCTTTTCTTCAGCCAACCTGATTACTACCGCTAGACCCTGGCGGTCTTTGTTTCGTACATGATCATTTCTGGGTAGGAACTTTCGCATTGTCTTCCTAACTTCAGGACTTGCCTTGTTTCTTAAAGTTTTCAAAACTGCCAGATTGCCCCTCTCGTTTTCGAGCTTCGAGTACCACAAGCGACCCAAACATTGTCTACGTCTAACAGCGCTAGTAAGATGTAAGCATAATAACAAATAGGAGAAATTTTAGCGATTTAAAATCGTTATGTCTACGAAATGTCGCGCTAAACTCCAGGGAATTATTACCAAGTGACTTTGTACAGGAGCTTGTTGTGGGCTTCTAATGAATTTTATCGTGCCAATCTATAAGATCAATGCCAGGTTTCCTGTCAGTTAATTTTTCTAAGAATGTAATATTTTAAATCACTGAGGGAGCCGTCATTTGACTGGACACACCAAATCTGACAAATCAGCTTACTTACTCCTCCAACATGTCGTTGATGTTGCCTGAGTGCTCTGATACGTATCGTGATGATTACACCACAGTTCTACTGCCTCGAAATCGAAGGCTTGGTGCCTATGCGAGCCGTTCTCAGGTATCGCGGCAATGGAATGAACCTCTCTGTTCTGGTAGGTGTACTTTTCACCCCTATAATCTCTTCAGTTTTGTGGTAGTTGATGGAAATGTAATCGGTGTTGTTACAAAGTGATCGTTGCTTTAATCATTTTGATGCTTTGTTTCTCAGGTCTCTCCGCTTTCCTTCCAAGATGTGAGCAGTTGATAGGTGCGACGACTCCAGAGAATTCAACCCAATACAGGCAACGCTAATAGGTACTGTTTTTGAGCTTTTATCTACTTTTTTAGTTGGGGCTACCATGTCTTTATACTAGAAGATACTGCTGAAATGGCACTGAATACTGGAACGTCCGATTTCCTCAGCTCATTTCGTCGTTTACTTAGTAACCAGGATCAAGCGAATAGCTGTCAAAAGTTCCACGCTTATCGTTTTGCGATAGACACATG